AAAAAGATAAATTAAGGAAACAACCCCATTTACAATCAATCAAAAAGAATAAAATATCTAGGGATAAACTTAACCAAGGAAGCGAAAGATCAATACTCTGAAAACTATAAAACATTGATGAAGGAATTTGAAAATGATACAAAGAAATGGAAAGATGTCCCATGTTCTTGGATTGGAAGAATTAATATTGCTAAAATGTTCATATTACCCAAAGCAATCTATAGATTTAATGCAATTCCTATTGAAATATCCATGACATTTTTCACTGAACTAGAGCAAATAATCCTAAAATTTATATGTAGCCTAAATGATCTAATTGCCAAAACAATCTTGAGAAAAAAGAACTAAGCTGGAGATATTGCATTCCCTGATTTCAGACTATATTACAAAGCTACAGTAATCAAAACAGCATGGTACTGGCACAAAAACAGACACATAGATCAAGGAACATAATAGAGAGCTCGGAAATAAGCTCATACCCCTACGGTCAATTAATCTATGAGAAAATAGGCAAGAATATACGAGGGAGAAAAGACAATCTCTTCAATAAGTGGTGCTGGGAAAACTGGACAGCTACATGAAAAAGAATGAGATTAGAACATTTTCTCACACCACATACAAAAATAAACTCAAAATGGATTAAAAAACTAAATGTAAGACCTGAAACAACACTCTTAGAAGAGAACACAGGCAGAACACTCTTTGACATCAATCAGAAACATTCTGTTGTATCTTGTCTCCTAAGGCAAAAGAGATCAAAGCAAAAATAAACAAATAGGACCTAATTAAACTTAAAAGCTTTTGCACAGCAACGGAAACCATCAACAAAATGAAAGGACAACCTATCGAATGGGAGAAAATATTTGCAAATAATATGACTGATAAGGGGTTAACTTCCAAAATTTATAAACAGCTTCTACAACTCAACATCAAGAATCAGTCTTAAAACACAGGCAGGATCCAAGACAGGCTATTTATAAAAGACACTGCCAGGGTCCTGCCATGGAAGGCTGGTTAAGGAGTTCCACCTCTGGGACTGGTGCTGCTGCCACTGGGCTGTCACTCATCACTGCCAGATACCCATTCTTTGAAACTTTGCAGCACTGCCTCCAGATTTAAGGCCCAGATGGAAGAGGCCAAATGGCCAAGCCTAGTTAGTTGCCTACACCCTAGTGGCTCAGATCAAAGGAAGCAAAAAAACAAAAACAAAAAACTAGGCCCCTTTAAACTTCCACAGTCTCCTGCTCAAAGGACAGCAATGGAATCTATTTCAAAAGCACATCCAATATGTCACTTCCTGGTCCGAGATCCTCACCGTGGCTCACACCACCCACCATTCAGCGGCTACCAGCCTCATCTCCTTTTATCCTGTGCCCTCCCCTCACCGTTTAACCCCAGCTATAGTGACCTCCTCCTCTGGGAAGCCCTACGCTCCTTCCACAGCAGGATTTTCACATTGCCACTTGCATCCGGAATTCTTCCCCAGCCCCAAACATCAGCTAACCCATGTTTAACCTTCAGGACTCAATCCAAATGTCACTTCATCAGGGAAGATTTACCACTTCTTCATGACCCTGTTTTCTAGAAATCTTTCTTTCTTTTGGCTAGCACTAAAACACTAATTACATCCTGTCTCTCTCTCACTCTAGATTGCTGAAGGCAAGGCTGAACTGTCTTGCTCAGTACCAAACACCACAATGTCCGAAAGCAGCTGCTCATTCTTGAATGACTAGTGATTTCTCTGCCTGGTTCCTGACCCATCTAAATTCTCAACAGAAAATCAAAGCCAGTGGTTCTTAAACTCTAACAGGCATGAGTTACCAGGGAGATTGTGAAAATATAAATTCTGATTTAGGAGTTAGCTTTCTAACAAGTTCCAGATGATGCCAATGCTGCTGGTCCATGGACCACACTGTGAGAAGCAAGTCAACATCTTACAAAATCAAATGATAAGCCAGACACTTAGGACAAATACTGTATGAGTCCACTCATGTGAGTTACCTAGTATTCAAATTCATGAAGCAGAAAATAGAAAGATCGGGAGAGGTGATTGTCAGGGTCTGGGGGAAGGAGATATTATTTAACAAGTACAAAGTTTCAACTTGGGATGGTGGTGGTACTGGTTACACAATAATGTGAATGTACTTAATGCCACTGAATTATACACTTAAAATGGTTAAAATGGTAAATTTTACCATAATGTTTTTCAAAAAACAACTTAGAGAAAACCAGTAAGCCCTAAGTTGGTCCTTCCATGAGGAGTCTGTCCCCACGGACCCAGGGGTAGTGCTGGGCAGACAGCCTGTGTCCGCAGTAGCCTAGGTCAAAGGCAGCATTAATGCTAACTCTGCCAGACAGATTGACATTGGACAGCAGTCAGGCTGTTCACCTGCCACGTTCTAACCTACCCTGAGGGTTTCTCTGAGACAAGTTGCTTGTTAAAGATCTGGCAGAACTTGAAGCTGATTTAGTTTGTACACGTAAAGTACATTTTTTGATCCAAACAAGCTTCATTCCTTCCAGCTGAGACCCTAGAGGAAGGTTACTATTAGTGGAAAATTTCAGTTTGAAACTGAAGTTCCTAACGCTTGTAACATGGTGCCTCCTAAAGTGAAATAAACCAGAACCTGACACCTAACATCATGGTGACAATGAAACATTGGAATTTTCAACCAGTAGTTGGGCTCCCACCAGAAAGTTAAAAGGATGGTGTTTAGAGGTGAAACTCTATTTACTGACCTTTTGAATTTTGATCTATTACATACTGAAGCAGCAGATCATTTATAAGGAAAGTTTCCAGAATAACTTGAGGACTACACTAACCTTATTGCAGATGATAAAAGATTTTAGGATCAATGATTATAAGTGTCTCTAACTTAAAATGAGTTAACCATTCCTCTCCTGATCTTTGCACTTCCTTCAGTCTCTCTGGATTGTACTAGACCTATGCCCTTTTATGAAGATGAAAAAAAACCTAATTGCCCATTGCTGATGGACAACTTAATAAGAAAGCGTGTTTGGAGTTCAAGACCGATCTGCTTACTTTACTTTTCCAAAGTTGATCCATATAGACCCCGATGCCCTTGAGAAATTTTAATTACCTCAAAATTGAGACTAGAGCTTGCTTACCCTTTTCCCAAACAAAATCAGTTTGCTGCACAAGTGATTCTAACAATGTTCAGGGTGACCAGGAGACTGGCAGTAGGAGACTTGTTACAAATGGCAAGTCAATACGAGTTCTCTCAGCTTCTGTCACATATGTTGGCTCTCCTGAGATGCCCTAAAACTTTCCCAGAATGCATAAAAACATTCAGTGAAAGAAATGCTTATGTGAGTATATTTTGGAACAAATCCTCCTTTCCCCTATTCTTTTAGTTTGTAGATACAGTTAAGTCAAGCAACTACTGAAATACAAAATAGGAAAGCACATTGCTCATGCTGTCCAAATGCAACAAGAAGTCACCTTTAACAAGTCAGAGCCCTTTACTTTTAGGTCTCAACGTGGCAAGGTGTTGGAGCCCTCTGGAGCTGGTTGAAAAATAACCAGAGATCCTCCCAGCCTTATTCCCTCCCCCTCAATAGCCTGCCCTTTCTAAGGTGCTGCCCAGAGGAAACATGCCTGGAAGCCTAGAGCAGTCAAGTTTGCGAGATTTTGCTGCCTTAATGCAATTGTGAATCAACAGGTATAGCCAGTAATTAAAGAACAGCCTCCTACTGCCCCAAGGGGCAGGAGAGAGCCTGGAGAACCAGCCTGATGTCTGGAGATAGTTGAAACTGTACTTGAGCCTTCCTCAGCGTTGGTTGAGAGTTGAAACTGTACTTGAGCCTTCCTCAGCGTTGGTTGTTCTGAGCACCAGAACTCAGCAGTAGAATACAGTGCAACAGGTTTAGTGGATTTCAGAGTAAGAACAATGAAGATAGGGAAATGGATTTCCTCCTGTTTAGACATTTGAACCAGTGAAATTAAATGCAAAATAAATGCTTGTATGGTTTTAAACAAAAGGAGCCCACTTCTACCCTGTCATCGGCATTTCCTTGCTCACTCTGCTGAGACTACTCTCAAGTCAAGGACTAGCAGTAACCACTACATGTGGCACGACATTTATGATTATTTTGAGGTCACCTTCTATTTTGAACCATCTTTTTTTTTTCACTGTAACAGACACATTCAACCAAAATTGTGATGGTCTTTCCTACTGTGATCTTCAATTAGATTTGCAAGTGTCTTGGTGGCAATCATAAATAGATGTGAATTACCCTCATCAGCACAGATCTATCTGAATCCAAACTATTAAACATTCTTTACATTAAGTAATGTGGTTCTTCAAAAACTAGGTTTTCCTCCTTTGATGTCATTTTAACCACCTTGCCACATTACATACATTTCCTTGGACTCTTCTCTCTTCCATTTTCTCTCCACCATTAAGTCCATGAGGAATAAGACTATGCAGATTTAATTCCTACCCACCTTACCCTCTATACCTCACTTGTTCTAAGTGGTGACAAATTTTAAGCTTTTATATCTGGGAAGAACTTAAGTGTTTCTACCAATCTACCCAATTACCTTCCCAGAAGTTATACTTAAAAACAGTGAAGGCTTCATCCCCACCTCCCCCCAGATCCGGCAGGTAGGTCATCTGGCTACAAAAGCCCAAGTTTTCACCTGAGGGTAATTGTAAGAACAGAGGTCATGCTTGGCAAGGGTGAAATACAGCTTTACTTATAAATACTCTGCCTAAAACTGCCCCAGTTTCACGGGATTTTGGCTAAACTTTCAAAGCACGAAAGTACGTAACTGATTGTATTTAGTTTCAATACAATCAGTAACTGGTGAATTCTAAGTGGCAGGAGCCACCAACCGAGTAACCAAATGTTTACCTTGAGGTCCAGTTAGCTACTTTGGGCGCTGGGGAAGCACACAAAAACAGAATGGGCTATAAGATTGATACCCTGATGACTCAAAGAAGTGACAAATGTCTAACAGCACATGACACACACGCTTCAAAAGACAGGCCAATAATGACTCAACTTTTTATTTCACTGACCAGTACTTCCAATTCTCTCTGATACTGCATTTAAAATCTTCAGAGTGCCCCAAAATAGCATTCAGACTTCCTATATCCAGAGACAGGGGTCCAGAGGAAAAAAAAGGTCAGGCCCCAGGCTCTTTTTGGGTGGGAAAATGGCACATTCCTATGCAAGTCTGTGTCAGTTTTTAACTGAAGTGCCACCTTCCAGAAACTTTTTTCTATGGCATCTGTGATGGAAATAGATTCATCTCTCACACGAACAGTTCCATGGGGGAGGAAAGGTGGGGAGGGCATTACACAGGTAGCAGCCAAACTTCTTATTCAGCCAGAAACTGAACTTCTGGCTCAGTTTAATGGCAAGGAGATATGCAAAACTGTGGTGAGCATCCTGGCTCTTCCTCAAAGTGAGGTGGACTGGACTTTTGTCAATGGAAGCACTGCCCATAATAAAAGTGAATTAAGCTCTATAAAAAAATATAAAGTTGCTCCTATCTTTATGAGTAGTCTATGAGCGGCTTCCAAGAATCCAGCAATGCCCACATCCCATACCTCATCCAGACATGGCCAGTTCCTCATGCACAGCCACATGGGAAGCATAAAAACCTTTCAACTTTTGGGGGGGGAGCTGGGTCTTGGGATAGATTTTTTTATTCCCCCCTCACCAAAAACTATGTATCTACACACACTCAGACACACATACATATCTGTCTTCAAGGAAGTTTTTCTTCCCTGTGACTACAGGACCCCAGAATCAAGCCTCCCCTAGGCTGAGACAATGCCTATTAACTGCACAGATCTGGTGCATCACCACACTGTGTAAGGCTCCTGTGCTGTCTCACCAACTGGGAGGGCAGGGGCCAAGGGAGTAGATAATCATGGGGGATTTGCCTTCTGTCTTAAACTCAATTTACTCGGCAACACTCCTAGGTCCAGGCTCCGGGAGAGGTTCTGTGGGCAAGATGTGGTGGATGACCTGATGGTCCCAGCCCACTGTGGTAAGAAGGGAGTGATTGAGCGGGGACCAAGTGGCATCTCTCACAAAGTCTCGGTGGGCTCGGCTTCTAAACCTAGAAGAGAAAAACGAAAAGTATGAGCATGGCAAGAGACGAGAGGGGAAAGAAGAAAGAGATCCAACACACCGGGGTACATTCTGTGAACGTGTTACACACGCTTCACCATATGTATAGGAGGCCTAGTCACCAAGACAGCAGTGCAGCTATCCACAGAAGACTCCATCACCCCATCCCGTGCCCTGATTCCATGGAAGAAATGATAGCTAGAGCAAGGGTAGTGATGTGGGCCAGGATCAGACAGCCCATCATGGCAAAGAAGGGAGGACAATTCAGATCTTCTGTCTGCTGCCTTTCACCCTATAGCAGGTTACATTTCCTGCATGTGGTTCATTATGTAAAAGGGGTAGACTGACCCTTTGGGAGACAGCTGGAATACCAGACTCAGAAATCCCACCCGCCACCATTTTCCTCTTCTATTAGGGACAGAGCTGGTTATAAGTCAGCCCCTGCAACAGGGAGACAGTGAGTAGTCAGCCTGCTTCCATCACCCGGTCCCCCTGCAAGAGACAATGTACTTTTCAGAAGAGGAAAAAGGACCCAGCCATCTGCTGCTCCCCTCCCTGATTCCTGATCACAGTTACACTTACACCTCAGAAAGGCCTGAGTCCAGCACAGCAAGTGAGCAGTCTTCACTGACGGAGGCCAGGAAGGGGGCACTAGAAGAAAAGGAAAGGGTCGGGAAAGGTAAAGCCCCCAGGTCCCTAGACAAAACCTGACTGGCTGGCCCCAGTGCCCTACCCTAAAGTGACCAGAGAAAGTGGCCTGATCCCCACTGTGGGTTAAGGTCTGGCTGCCACTCAAGTCTACAGTACAAGTTCCAAGGAAAGAATAAAAAATGGAGAAGAGTCAGGGTTGACAGCCATCCTGGCAACTAACCACTCCTTCTGGTCCCTCCCTGCAGCTTCAGTAACAACCTAGAAGAACAGGCTTTCCAAACACACACTCCCAGAAGTCCACAGTAATATTCATGTTGGGTGTTGAGCAGGAACAAAGAGCATATTTTAGCCACCTGCAGTCAGAGACCACACAACGCCAAAAAGGACTGTAGTCTTAGGAGCTCTTTCCCATTCTGAAACCGCACCTAGCCTGCTTTAAGCAATTGCCCAATCAGCTTTGCCAACATACACACCTTCCCTGACTGTTCCCATCCATACCTACCAGGCTCCTGACGACAAGCGGTACCTGTGTGGGGAGAACACCAGCCCAGTGACACACTGGGAGTGCACAGCTGAGCTGAGGGCACAGCTTACATTCTTGGTGTCCACAAGGGAGACAGTCCCATTCTCATCACCTGAAGAAAAGAGGGAATACGTCATGGGAGTTAAGAGCACAGGCTTTGGATTCAGCCAGACCTGGCCTGGAATGCTAGTTCATTAATCATGGACAAGTTAACCACTCTGAGCATCAGTTTCCTCGTTGGTAAAGTAGGAATTGGTAGTCATTTAGGGGTTGTGAAAATTAAATTAAAGGATGACACAGTTGTTAGGTTAACCACAAACTATGTAACCATATGCACAGCCACATCACCACATCAGCACCACAACTGTCCCTACTATACAACAGAATTCCCTATAGAGCAATCCACTTGCTTTGTGGTCTACTGACGTCCAGCCATGCCCAGAACACCAGAGCCACAGAAAACAATCAGGAGTCAAATCTACTGGGACAAAAACTGTTATGGTCTCCAAAGCTAAACTAAAACCACTTCTGGATCATCCAACCTCCCCACCGCACCTCCATGAGTGTAATTCATCCAGTGCCCACGTGTGCCGATGAGCCCGAGCAGCAGAGCCTCGTGCACTGTGGGGTCTGCCCTCCCTCTCATCCTCCCCTTCCCCAAGTCAACACATGGTTGAACATGCTGCCTTACCAAAGACAAAGACTTCACTCTGCTGTGGATGCCAAGCCAGTGAGGTAGGAAGGTAGCCAGAGGCACTGCAGCCTGCGAGGGAGAGAAGAGGGGTCTGGAACAAGACTCAAGCCCAGCTCTGAGAAGAAGCTTCTCAGATGGAATCACTCTAAATCCCAGGAGCGTCTTTATTTGGTCTCCCAAACCTTGCAGTCCTGTCCTTATCCTTGACCCTCATAACTTACATCTATCCATCAGCCTCCTGCCCTTTCCAGACACACGTCACAGGCAAGTTTCAATCCCTAAGCATTAAGACAACAACTCTGGCCTCTCTGCTTGCTCATCCAGGAAATGGAAAGTAAACTGTTCACCCAGAAACCAGCCCTTCCTCTTGAGACCCGCTGCACAAGATGGGATCGGCAAAGCCTCAGTGGGAAAGAAATCAATTACGTCATTTATGTCCTAGTGACTAAGTATTTGGCAACCTTGACTCTGGCCAAGTAAAGCCTCTTTCAGGTGGGTTCCCAGTACCACTCTCCCACCACGGGCTCTCGGACTCACCTATTTGTGATGCTGGCTTGGGACAGCGGATATCCCAGAGTAAAATTCTATTGTCCTAGAAGCAGAAGGAACAGAAAAAGGGCTTCATCCAAAGAAGCAGCTGCCGGCCTGAGGCCCTCCACACTACACTTTGGCCTAGAGGCTCGGAGTGTGGTTAGGGAGTGGGAAGGGAAGGGGAAGAGGCTGTATGTTACCTCACTGCACGAAAGAAACATGGAGTCCTTGTGGGGAGAGGCAGTAACACAGGTGACCTGCCCAGAGTGAGCTGTAGGGGAGAGAGAAAGAGAAATATGACAGAGAAGCTGGAGGCATCACTATCATGCAGCCCAGATATTACTAAGGCATAGGAGGGAGGGTGTGAGAAACAGGCCAAGTCTCATGATGCAACTGAACAAATTCCGTGAGATTCTGGATTAGAGAAAACCTCAGGGGAAATGCTGATAGCATTATAAAACCTCAAAAGGCTTGGGGAAAAAATGAATCAGTAAAGACAAGAAAGATAAATTAGAGGCTGAGTAAGAAAAGTAAAGGAATTTACAGTAAAGACATCCTAGAATAGCAGTACCCATGTCTCCAGGTAAACAGACAAAGACTTCTGAGGGCATTCTGGACGCTGAGAGTTTTAAGGGAATAAATTTCTCCAATGTTCTCTTTCCAGATTGAATTGAGAAGCTGCCTAAAGTCTGCCAGCACTGCTTTCCCTACCTCTGCTCTCAGGGTCACCCCTCTCCAATTTCTCTCATCCGCCTCAAACTTTACCATTGTACAATGCTCAGAAGTATAAAACCCTAAAGTATAAAACAAAAGGGGCTTTTCCTAAGAGCCAAAGAAAGAGCATCTGGGCAAAATTCTATAAAGAGGCTGGCCTTTTTCATCCACACCACAAACACAAGAGTGGTTCCGTGACTTATCTCTTCCGTCTAATAATGAGAACTTTGAAACTGATGATAAATGGTTGTCATTAGGACATCTCACAAGGCTATCTGAATTTAAAAATGAAATCACACTTTTTCTGACTGAAAGTTAACTCTCACTCACTTGGCCAACTGTCTTAACAATGCAGATGGCTTCTGACAGGTTATTTGGTAGATATTTTACATAAATTAAATGAGCTAAATCTGCAAATCCAAAATTTTGACAAACCTAATTTAAACAAGTGTACAACAAATGATATGGCCAGAAATTACCCTCTTTGCAACTAGTTAAACTTAAAACTAGATGCCAATTTAAAAATGAGTGAAAGAATACAGTTTTCCAAAAATTTTTTAGGGCTACACGTTAAAAAGGTTAACAGTCACAGCTATTTGTTAATTACAGACTGTGGAAACCACCTTTCCTAAAGTCATTTAACCAGACTTTCTGAGATAGTTTGAATGTGGCTCTGCCCTGAGACAGAAGGACAGGTTCAAACTATCTTCCCCAGAATCCATGGAAAGCCAACACGATGAAAGGGAATGTATTGTTCACTGGAAAAAAGCAAAGTTCTGTGACAAGTACCATGGGAGTGTACAAAAGATAAAAAACCAAAATGTGGTTCCTCTGCCCTAAGGGATTTGAAATCACTAGGGGGAATAAGAATAAACACAAAGAACAAATGAAAAAGGCTGAATGGGGCAAGTGCTGAGAAAGAGCTATTTAGCACTGACTAGGACTACATCATATTGTCTAAGAAACAAAGCAAGTGCAGTAGCCTTTGAGCACTGACATTATGCTGTGACCCTGAAGCTCCAGGATATGCATGAGTTTGTGACTTTGA